ATCTAGAATCCACACACTTAGAACATTAAATGTAATTGAAGTCCTACATAAGAAAAATACATATGATTAAATTGAGGTTCAAATTTTGAAACGCTAATCACAAGTAGCGACTTTAAATGTTCATCAGATAAATTTGCCCTGTATTTCGACTTGATGTACTTCATCTGGGAAAAAGTTTGTTCACACAGATATGTCGCCCCAAAAATGGAGATAAATTTACAAGCAAATTTCTTTAAATTAGGAAATTGCTCAGAGTTCAGAAATTTATAAAATTTGATCAAATTTCTTTCCCTGTATTTGTCTTTAATATATGATAATTTTCCTGAAGTTCAATAATTTCCATTTGAATTTGACTTGGGACATCTGCAGCATCAGAGTCAAACGGATTTTGAAACAATCTAATTTCCTGAGCACTGGAATCCAAATCAGCAAATCGCTTCCAAAATTGTTCTTTCAAATCTGAAATGACTAAATTTGCAAACGAGGAAGGAAATTCTGCTTCATCCTTTTTATGCAACTCTGCACAGTATAGCATATGAACAAAGTTACAGTTTTTCACTTGGCTTTCCAGAAGTATCAACTTTGCTCTGAATGCCTTGAGAAGTTCAAATAAATCACAGACTAAGTTATTTTCACCCTGCAACTTTAAATTCAAATTGTTCATATGGTTCACCAGATCAGCAAAAAATGCTGATTTCCAAAGCCACTCGGTATCTGATAAAAGTGGTTCGTGATGGTTTTTCTCGGTAAGAAATATATCAATTTCATTCCTGAGCTGAAAGAAGCGCGAAAGAACCTTTCCATAGCTAAGCCACCGAACTGCAGTATAATATGTCAGGTCAATAAGCTCGGAATCACATTCCTCAAGAAAAGACCGAAACTGGCGATGGTTAAGTGCATGACAGGGAATGAAATTAACGATAGAAATAACAGGTTTTGAAACAGAGCTCATATCAACGTGTTTTGCACAGAGTGCTTGTTGGTGGATAACACAGTGAAGAAACATTGGCTTTCTGCACAATTCTTTCGCGGGCCGGATAAAATCACATTGCGGGCCGGATGTGGCCGGTAGGCCGTAATTTGGAGATCCTTGTTCTAGGCCAAAATCTATCTATCTATCTGTCTACCAAATTGCATGGTGTCATATCCCACAAGAACACAATCTTATTCCTAGTCTGTTCTTCCCTTCTTGTATGAAACCTGACTTCAAACCCATGATTATGAGTATGGGTATGAGGGGAGAGCCATAGGAACCTGCCTTCGCACTGCAACCTTCAATGATCTATTGTGCTTCCCCTTTGGATTAACCCTTTATTAATTCTACACTTCGAATGAAATGTAGGGCTTTCTTTATTGGGGCGTCATAAAAGTCACTTAGTTCCATGAAGAATTGACCCAGGTGGCGATATCTTAGATAAGCTATAGCCTCACGATCACATGAAATGTGTGTGGCTGATTCATCTTCTTGTAGGCACCTTTCACAAGTTGGGTCATCTGTCAGCCCCACTTTGAAAAGGTGCCCTTTTAGGTGGCAGTGTCCACTTTAAACTCATACAAAACTTTGTCACTTTACCCTACTCTCCATGTGAAGAAAATACACTGCCCACTGAGAAAGTAAGAAATTTCCTGCTTATGGCTCTTATTCTGCACAAGGGTAGAAAGTAACAAAGCCTCACACTAGGGTAACAATTAGTGTTTTACTGCTCTTGCTGATGTGTGTCCATTGTTATGAGTTCCCTGGCTGCATTACCCTTATACAGCTTGTGGTCAGCCCAATGGCAAGGGCCCAACAAACTTCCTGCCAAAAGGGCACCAGGGTAGCTCCTCCAGCTAGGATGCATGCAGTGTTACCTCTATGCTATCACAGTGTGCGTGAACACAGGGGTAATTTATCTTTATCTGTGCTATAACTGATATCCTTACATTTGACTCTGTCTCCTACAGATGTGATACACTTTGAATACAGTACATGTACTTATACATACAGCTGCTGTTTAATTGAGCACCAACAGATTGGGGGATATGGATCTGATATGGGGATATGGGGGATATGGGATCAGAAGAGACATTTCACATACTCCTAACCATGGCTCCAGATGGAAATCAGCGTCCAGCTTCATGCACTGGCTGGCTTAGCCCCAGGATAACACCTCCCAGTACACATTAGATATTCGGCTATGCGAATCATAGACATGGCCAGGACACAGTGGCAAATAGCAAGTATTTTCTATCAAGAATCAAACCACAGTCCATCCAGCCCAAAGCCTAGTCATTACAGAGATTCAGCTACTGTCAAACCTAATTCATACACGTTCTTACAATCCTTAATCACATCACAGATCGTGATGATTTGCATGTGATATCCAGTGGAACACACAATCTTATCTTGTACATGCATGGACAGCAGCATCAGGGGGGATGTTGGGCATACAGCATTCACAGTGGAGTGATTGCCTGTACGTGCTTCTGATAACAAACTGATCTGACTGTCATTCATTACAGGTGGCTGAAAATACCATTATCACCTGAACATTGATACAGCATGTGAATGCAAAGCTTGAGCTCAGGCATCTTGTTGCTAATTACATCAGAACGGAGATATCTATGTTGAGCTGGTTCACCTGACAGCAAACAGCTCTCAAATATGCAACCTCTCTGCAGTTGTATAATAATACTCACAGTGGTAGTAGTAGTAATCTCCTCCTCCTCCTCCTTTCTCAGCTCTAGAGCCCTTGTTGGGCTTTCTTCCGCTTTCCATGTATTTATTATGTTTGTCTTGTTCTCTGTAACATACACAGTATAGCCTCATTTTTTCTCTTATGGCCTCTCTGCACTCTTCATCATACCATTCATTTTTCGTTCTTTTCTCTTCACCAATTGTTTCAGGTGCAGTTTCAATTACAGCTTGTTTGATTTTGTTTCATAGCTGTTCGACTTGTTCATTTTAATTTTCTATCTGTTCTGTTCTTAATGCTTCTAATTTTGTTTTCAATGTTTCCTTATATAACTGAGACTGACTGGTTCCTTTAATTTGTCTACTTTTCATTTTTTCTTTTATAACTTTTATTATTATCTATAGTGGCAAGTCTGTCGTTTATTTTAACTTTAACTAAATAGTGACCAGAATCACAATTAAGACCTCTCGCTGTTTTAACATCCAGTACTGATGAAGCATGTCTTCTATATATCAATACATGATCTATTTGGTTAGTTTGTTCACAGCCAGGTATTTTCCAGCCACCTTTTTTAAAAAAGCTTCTATCATAATTTGCGCATTAAAATCACCTAGAATCACTAACATATCATATTTTGGTATTTTTTAGTATTCTCTGTGAAACTGATTATAAAATTCTCTTCCAGACTGTCTTCTGTTGGTGCTTACACTGATATTAATGTAAAAAGTAAAAAAAGTAAAGCTATCCCTGTAACAGGCCATGAAGGCCCATAGGGATGTGAGACGTTGAGGGTTCCACATTATCTAGACAATTGGCTCAAAGATGGCGGTAAAGTTGTCGGCCTTATGCGCCGGCCGCGCTTTACTCCCCAGGAAAATTATTTATTTAATTCCTGGTACTCATTTCTGTTAGAGGCTGAGTCAACCCCAGGGCCATAGCGCGGCTGGAAGGATTAGGTCAATTGAAAAAAATCCAATGACCTCATCGGGACTTGAACCCGCGACCTTCCAGCTTGTAGCATAGCTCCTCAACCAACTACGCTACCCTGTGCCCCCCTGATATTAATGTGATATTTATAAAACGCCCTTTGAGCCCAATTTTACACATTCTATCACTAACTGGTTCAAAACATATTAAAATTTTTCATGTGCCACACTGTCTATGCATAGAATTTGGTCCACTATAAAATAATGAGTAGGCTTGTTTATCTGTTCTCCCTTGTCCAGGCCATCTAGTTTCTTGAATTGCTAAAATATTTATTTTGTATTTTCTGGCTTCATCTGAAATTTCTACCATTTTTCCAGGTTGTAATATTGACCTAACATCACAGGTTGCTACTGTTAATATTGTATTCCTTTATCGATTCCATATGCCACTGTCCATATAACCCTACCAGGTAATTCAGCAATTGTAAAATCTTTGCGACAAGTGTTCTTTTTTATGGAAAAGTCATCAGCCTCAAGCCCAACTCTTAATCAGTGGGACTGGTAGTCTTGATTTTTGGGTATTCTACCCCTAGAAGTGTTTTCTTCGCTACAACTCAGAGAGCTTCCTCTGTCCTTTGCAGTTTACAAGCCATACCAATATCCATCATCTCCAGCTTGTAGTACCCAGTTATAGACCCTTCTGACTTCAGTCTTCAGCACTATACTGGTACAGGGGGAACTGCTGCATTCTACCTGGGATGTTTATCAACTTCTGAGTCTGACTTAGGGTTGCCCCTTCCATCAATCCTACTATACCGAGGGTTTCCCTCTTTGCTGTTGCTGCCATTGAGGGCCTTTACTGTAACCCAGGAAAGGGGCCGTTACAAGGTGCTACCATCCAGAGCCAGATGGACCAAGGTATTTTAAAGAGGTGTTACCAATTTTTCGCCTAACTCTTTGTCCTGGCTTGTGTTAAACAGAACTTAGCCTTCCAAACGTTGGGCCCAAGTTGGCAGGGTTGTGCATTTGTATAATGCAAAGCCAAATCAGTTTTTCACCTGTGGAGTTTTTTCTGTCATCCAACAGACTAAACACCTTCTTCTTCTTTAGTTAACACATAAACAAACTGTTGAAACAGCATTAGAATCACTAACATTATATACATAAACTTAATAAATGTATAATTAATGACCCATCTCGAGTAGTACAGACTCAACGTTAAGGATAGCAGGCCTGATCTAAAAATACAACTCAACAAGATGTATGTAAGTTTTAACATGAAAAATGTGTTTTAATGTGAAACTTGTCAGAATGTTTACAGTCTACACCACACCACATTCCCAGCTCCAACAGTTCATTAATTGCTGCAATCTACTATGAAGCTAGCTATGAGCAGTGATCAAATGAAACCCACTGAAGGAATGTTCTGGACAGAAGAGCAGATGGCATTAAAAGCTGATCCCATGAGCAATGAGGATGGCAGCTGATTGATTCCTTCCCAGAAAGAACTCACTGGGATGCTGGAACTAGTGCACCACTGTGGCCTTGATGCATTTGTCTGACTCAATCCTACATCACTTTCCTGCAAGGAAACTAACACACAGAAATCACATGGTGGCATGTGTTGGTGCAACAGCTTCTGACAGAGTGAGCACAGCTGTCCTAGATGGTGTGGGCCATATATGGATGGGTACTGCTGTTCAAGATGATGATGCTTTCTGCTGATGGCAGTATCAAAGTCTCAGAGGTTTCCACAACAGCACTGTGCATTGTTGGTGAAGTTACAAATTCAGGTAAGATGAAGTTCTCAAATTTGAAGTGGTGTAATGGTTCTAGCAAACAGTCCAGGAAGTTCCTTGTAGAAAGAATCCACTGGCTAGTCCATAAATGAGATACCTGCTAAAGTGACTATGGGAACTATTTTTAGTGGCCTCTAATCCTTCAGCCAGAACAATATGAGTTTCATTTTAACAAGCTCTGTATGTATAGATTTTCTGTCACAGTAATACTGTTACTCTAAGTATTACAAAACTACTACAAGAAATGATATTAAAAGTTCAAATTTCTTTCAACATCATTTATCAGTTAAAATTTAAATTATAAGCAGTAAAAGTGTCATTCCCATCTAAAATATTTGCATTACTGATGACAGGCAAATTCAAATATGGTTTTAATGACATAACATCCACAGCATGTTTTGTGAGAACTTGGCAGTAGCTAAGAAGTAATTTAGGGAGCTCACTTGCATGTGTGAACATGAGCGTACCTTAAGCCTGCCTTTCCTTAAAGTGGTAAATGGAGAAATGTGAACTAAAAGAGGAAGATTTGGAAGGTGAAAACATTTAGAACATTAACAAAACTTGCCATAAATGAATGCTATATGAGGTGAAAGAGGAAAGTGCAATTGCTCCAAAAGACCTGACACACCCGGTGGCAGAAAGATACAATCAGATTCACAATCATAAATTTATTTAATGAGGACATAACAACAGATGGGAAACAAGGCCAGTCAGTGCTTACAAACACACCTCTCACAAATCTGCAACCACTGGCTGTGCATCTATTCATGCAATGTGACAGCAGCTGTTATCAATCCACTAGTAAGCCATAGCAGAACATTATCAGCATGCAATGACTATCACACTGCATGCAACTGATACAAGAGGAAGCACCTGAAAAAATCACAATTCTTGAAACTGTACTTTTAAAATTATCATTAGTCACAATATGTCACATTGCCCAGACGTATATAAGCGGCAGTGTTACTTAATATCAGTCAGAAGACTTTGGAGCTGCAACTGTGAAGCTGGGTCATAACAATGCTGTGCTATTCAGCAAAACTAAAGGTCTCCATTGCCTTTATGATTTTACATTTAATGGTATCTGATTTCTCATCAATTCCTCTACACACAAACAGAAGAGCTCAGAAGAACAGTTCCACCAGCATCCTTTGTCTCAGTTCAAGGCCACCAAAATTCAATGAAGATGCCTCAGCAATGATGATTTCACATGGCAGTGAATCAGAGGCAAAACCAATACTTCATGGAAATCAAACGAAGAAAAATATGAATGCACTGAAGAATGCAAAGACATTTGCAACAGTGAATATCAATAAAAGTCTCCCTGAGGAAGACAGCCATGACAGTATACAAACTGTAAGGTCAAAGAGGTCAACACACATTGACATCTCAAATATAATTCAGGCATATGTCAACTACCTATTTAACTACAGTGCAAGCCATATGCACCCCATTGCAAAGGCAGGTTTTATAAGTGAATTGTGAGTAAGGAAATGGAAGGCTTCTTTCTTTTCCACCCTACCAGGATAATGACATTCAAACCTTATCAAATTGTTATGAGCCCAACCAATACCCATTTAATGCCTGTTACAGGTTGCTTTCAAAGGAGAGTTGAGGTCATCATGGCACTAATTATTAAGATTACAGTTTTCTGTGATGTGACACTGTGTAACTCTTCATACCTATCTACCAAGCTACACAGCATCAGATCCTAGAAGACTGTCACCTTAATTCCTTCAGAGAGGTTAAGGCAGATAAACTTTGCTACAACATCCCTTGTATGTTGCTAAGCATAGGAATAGTTTCTCTCAGCATATGCAAATGTCCAAACACTGGATTCAGTGTCTATGTGCAGACAGAGATTTTGTGGCTGTAAGACAACAAGTGGTACTTGCCTCAGAATCCAGAATATGTCTGTGGATGGACTTTGCAGGAATATTAATTTTTAAGCATTGATAAGATTCTTCAGTTTTGTGAAAATTGCTTTTAGTGTGTAAGCATTGAATTAATGACTTCTTTTTCTTTAATGACAACAATATAAATGAATGTAAAAGTGGCAATCATTATTTTCAGTTACATCCATTACTGCTTAGCACATTACAACACTGACACAATATGCTATCAACATTAATACATACTGCCAGGGAATTTACTCCACCTTTCAAAAAGTAATACCAAATGTGACGATCTGCTTAAAACTAAAAGTCAATATGTTACAAGTAAACATTACCAACTTATAGCCATTAATAAAATGTCAATTATTTATTATTACAGAAAGGTGTCTACCTGCACATAGATGGAATAAGGTGGGACGAATGGAATTTGATTGCAATGTGCCCAACAAATTATTCTGTGTCATACATCTGCCCAACAAGACATCCAATATCACATGCTTCACAAGCTCTCCTCAAAGCAACATGTGCCTGCAAAATTGGCAGGTGTCATCAAGTCCATGCTAAGGTCCGTCATCACTTACATGCTCATCCAGTTGGCTGTGTCTATGCTACACAGAGAAGCAGTAAACAAGCAAACCATCAATCTGCCCCACCTTCAGTATCTTAAGGACTCAAAGCACTCAACTGGGTTTTAAGTGACAGTACTGAGCCTTCAACTTCATCTAAATAATATTCAACCATTCAGTTCCTGCCTCACAGAAACATGCTGTGGCATCTTCTTCACAAAGACCAACCAGTTAATGCATTACAGGGGAAAAAATTGTGAGAATGATACACAGATGCATTATGGGGTAAAATGCACAGTTTCTAAAAGGCAAACCAAGTGGTGTGTATAGTTACCACTTTATTGCAGAGGGTTAATGGTACTACATACATACATACATACATACATAGCATTCCAGCCACCCATGAGTTAGTCAGATGACCTACCGGATGTGGAATTCTGTATATTAACTTCCAGCATCTCATACAAAAGACTTTGTTTTAAAAGTCACAACAATATTATAGGTATTACAACTACATATGAGATTAATACTGCTCTGCTTTCTTGTCAAAAACAATTTGTGTTAGTAGACCAGACTGGTTCACATTTGCAGTGTTTGGTCAATAACAATTACAAACATTATGTAACAAGTTACTCCTTGACAACATTGTGTAGAGGTCTGTACTAAACAAGAAGTCGTGCCTGTTACAGAAGGAAACTATTTCACTGTGGTCACCCATTAATTGCTGAATGCCATAGCAGTAAAATACAGCAAGAAATGTGTACTGGTTCAGTACAATTCCTCTGAACAAAATGGGCCTTTTGGCTTATAAATTGCATAATGTAACAGTTATGGATGTTAAATAAATAAATAATACAATCAATCAAATTTGTGCTTTCAGCACTGCATTATATTTCTTAAAAACTTATATAATTCTGAATTTCTGTTACTAGGTGAAAGCCACTATAAGGCAGGATGCTGATTATTTAATATTCAAAGATGACCACATAAAGTGGAAATATTGAAGGAAAAAGAATAATCGCTTAATGATAACCTTTAATTCCCGAGCAAGGTAAAGTGAAACGTATAAGCATAATGCTGGAAATGGAAACAGAATCTGTAACACTGGTAACTGCCACATCTCCTTAATGAGCAATGTTATTAAAGAAATTCTAACAATGATCACAAGTATAATTATTTTCATTCTAATAATATGACCTTATTCATGAATATAAAAATGTCTTGGAAGAAATATTTACACCCTCTCCATCTTTGACGGTTACAACATTTTCAGTTCTGATTTACGAGTATATGGGCCTCTCTTCATGTAAGAAAAAAGGGATCTGTTGGTGAAATTTATTGCTTCAAAATGGTGAATCGTGATGTGTGAATGGTCAGATGAGGGAATACTTAGGAGGAGGTCTATAATGTTCTCCAGTTTCTATGGATGCTACAAGCCTGAAGGTTGCAGGTTTGATTCCTGATGAGGTCATTGGACTTTTCAATCAACCTAATTCTTCCAGCCACATTATGGCCCTTGGGTTGACTCAACCTCTTAAGAGAAATGAGTCCAGGAATCTTCCTGGGGATAAAGGGTTGCCAGCACGTAAAGCTGACAACCTCACCACCATCTGTGAGTCAAATGTCTAGAAAATGTGGGAGCCTCAACATCTCACAACCCTATGGGCCTCCAAGGCCTGTTACAGGGACAACTTTATTTTTACTTACATTTCCAAAACATTATTTTTAGAAGTAATTGTTTATATTTTATATACTATATCAATTTTAGGAATGAAGCTTTGAGAGGTTACATTGAAATCTTTGGCTTGCAATTGTGTGAGAAGTGACAAAACCAACGACCTAGAAATCCAGAAAGGGTGCAGATCAACTGTAGAAATATCTTTATTATGATGTGTTACCTTTCATATTATCAGCTGTTCCAAATAGGCAGTAAGTACTTACCCACTGCTTGCGTATTTTGCAAGTTGCTCTACAGAAAAATAAGTCAGCGTCTTCAATGACTATCATCATGGTTGTTTTATATTAAATTTACACTCATTTTAATTTTCTTCCACTACAATATTTGACAATGCAAACTACTGTCAGAACAATCCACATCTTCCTCCTGTTCAAACAAGGCAAAAGATGCAGTCCTGTACCTAGATCTGTCACAGAAGGCTGAAGCAGAAAAATAAAAGGATGTTTTGTATTGAAGCTAAACAACAAGAATACATTACTTTGAAATGAAGCCAGGTACTTCTTATTGACTCTTCTGTCTTACGGTGGTGGTGGTGGGGTGGGCTATGCCCTGGAACTATGAATGAGGCCTGAAATGGTGTAGGTGATCATGGAATGTATTAAAAAAATACTTCAACCCCATCTCGTTGAACCACACTATTTTCATCAGCAACATCACACAAATATGCTGCTTACTGGGGAAGGTGAGACAAATCACCCTTCAGTATTGGTACTTTCTATGCAGTCAACACAAAATAATAGAGAGCTGATCGATGTTTCCCAGCCTACCAACAGTAGCAGTAGCTCTTTTCAGCTCCTCTTGCTGCAGGCACCACCTATGACTAAATGGATAAAGGAAATATAAATATATATGCTTACTAAACTGAATTGTAGAGTTTTTCATTTTAAATAATAATTTGTTCATTCCATTCTTTAATAATTATTTGTTTGGCAATACACCAATGTTATGAAAATGGACTACTTAGCTTGCCTAATGATTCTCTGCTCAGGAGTGTATGCCTTCTCACAGTTGAGCCTTACTCAAACATTGAAATGTCTTGAGGACTATACAACTCACCATATGATGCAGTTGACATTCAGAAGTAATTACAAGGACTACTTATCATCTTTCCTCAGTTCATCATACAGTGTATAAAAATGCCATGTGTATGCCTACTGTTCAGCACTAACAGAACAATGCACCAACTTTCTAGTATTTCTATGGTTTTCATGATCAAATACAAAAAAAAAAAATATATATATATATACTGTTCTTCTTCTTTTAGCAGGATTTAGTTAGCCCCACTGATGCCATGCATCCATATTTTTGGCCGGATAGAAGGTAATTGATCGGTACCTCTTTCATACAGACACGAGACAACCTACATGAATTCCATAGTGGCTCAACATGAGGCTGATGAGCAAATGCATGTATCCCTACATTCGGTGCATTTGTGAAAGAACACTGTTGTTTTTTGTTAGGAGAGAGAAATGAGGAAGATCGTAAGGATAGGGAGGGTCTGTAAATCAGGTGCAGCTGATATATGCTGCAAAAGTGTGGTGTTTAAACGGTGCAGTTGATTGAACATCATATCCTATTTAGTAGTTGTAGATACAAAGGAAATTAGCCCCCTTAAGTCCATTCCACTCGTGAAACCCAACCCAAATATTTACTATACCTATGCAACAGGTCACAAGCATTGGTTTTGCCGTTGAATGTCAGAGTAATGAGTGTGCAGATTTTGTTCTTCTTTAAAAAGCATAAGGTCTCATATATATATATATTCCACCGACCCGGAAAAGTTGAAAGCCGTGCGAGAGTGGCCGACCCCGAAGGATAAACATGAAGTTAGAAGCTTTCTGGGACTATGCGCGTATTACAGGCGATTTATTTCAGGGTTTTCCAACATTGCGAAACCACTAATGAAACTAACGGAAGAGAAACGAACCTTCCAGTGGATTCCAGAAGTGGAGGCCACTTTTCAAACGCTAAAGGGTGCCCTATGTGCTGCCCCTATTCTTGCCTACCCACAGCCAGGAGAGAAATCATTGTGGACACAGATGCAAATAATGTCGGTATTGGAGGAGTACTCTCTCAAATACAGGACGGACAAGAGCGTGTCATAGCTTACTTCAGCAAGACGCTAAACAAAGCAGAGAGAAACTACTGCGTCACCCGTCGAGAACTACTTGCCATAGTGAGGACGCTGGAAGATTTCCACAAATACCTCTATGGACAACAGTTCCATCTGCAAACGGACCACTCTGCGCTTACCTGGCTTATGAGTTTCAGGAACTTAAAAGGGCAAACTGTCTTAGTCTTTGACCTATTTTTGTAATTTAAAGACTGAATTACTTTTATTTACCCCCCCCCCAAATAATACTTTATTTCAGTATGATTCAAATTTGGTAAAATAAACACTTCTTAGTACTGGCAAACTTACAGAGTCTCATATGGATTTAATCAAACAAAGAGCTTTGTTTAATTTATGGCAGAGATATTGTATATGAGTGGGCCAGCTTAAGTTATCTGTGATATAAATACCTAAACATTTTAAATTTACCCTTTAAGTTGTATACAGGGTGTATCAAAACTCANTATAGTTTTTTCAAGTGATATGTTTTATTAAAAAATATAAAGACTTCATGGCAAAAAAATGTGGACATCCATAATTACAGCACACAAAGAAAACTAAATCTGCATGTAAATCATTGCAATACAGTTCTTTAAAAAAAATCATTATAAATATGGGTATCACCTTCTATAATAAGGTCCCTGAGCAGATAAAAAAAAATTTAACTCCTTTAAGAGGGACTTAAAATCCTTTCTGTTGAAACATTCCATTTATTCCATTGATGAATATATATCCCTTAAATTCTGAAGTGAGTGTGTTATGGTTTTATGTTATGACAAATATCTTGTCCTCACTTCATCTATAAAAGAAAATGTTGGATGTTGGGTTTCTTTTGGTATTGAATTTTGAAAGTGGGACAATGTATAGTATGATTGATGTGTATGAAATCTGTCGGTAATTAAGTTTCATAGTATTGTTGACTCATGTATGATATGTATGTTATTTTAATATGTACAGTAGTAATTGACTTGTTCTACTCGTATATCCAGCGGTTGTATCTCCAAATATGGATTCTCAGAACAAATAAACTGATTGATTGATTGATATTGTATATGAGTGGCCCAGATTAAGTTATCTGTGACATAAAGACCTAAAAATTTTAAATTTGATGAGTATGTTATTTCTTTATTTTTTAGATACAGAATGGGGCCATGAGTTAAACTAGATCCTCTTCCCTGAAACAGTATTGCTTTAGTCTTTAAAGTGTTTATTATTAGTGGTCTTTTCATCTAAAAGCTGTACTTCAACAAATTGCGTTCTACTGGTAGGGTATGAATTCATCCACGAGTGTATTTTCGCTCTAAGTCCATACAGCTCCAATTTGGCAAGCAGTAGTTTATGATTTATTACATCAAAGGCCCATAACTGACAGCTTATTATCTAATGCTTTCTGGATATCCTCTATGAAGGTTTGTGTTGCTGTATTGGTAGATTTCTACTTTCTGAAGCCATTTCAAGCCCCAGATATCATGTTGTGTTTCTTTAGGAAGGTCAGTACTCTCTATTAAAAATGGTCTATAATTGGAGATTTCCTGTTTCCCACATTTTCTGTGAACAGGCCAAACTTTTGTAATCTTCATCAAATTTGGAAAGGTTCCAGAACATAATGAAATGTTAATGTTTTATCTGTGTATTGATGTTTGGATTAAGTCTTGTTTCTGACAGCAGTGTGAGATAACTGTAGTCATGTACATTGTCTATCATCTTTAGTTTTTCCGGTCTCAATCTTTTGGAAACTGGAACTGTGTCAACCTGATGAAGTAGGGGCAGAGAGGCCTTTGGACAGTTTTGTCTCTTGGAATTTTTGTGCTGTGAAAAGATTAGCAATGACAGTCATGTTTGTTGATACTTCAGATTAAATAAAAACCATAAATATTAGTTTATTTATTTCCTGCTATAGAGTATTATGTGATAGAGCAATACAATAGTGTTTCCAAAAATATGTTAGTAGTATATTTATAGGTTTGGAAATATGAATTGTTAAAACTATATATATATATATATATGACAATTGTACTGTTTCACCTAATTTTGTTCCTTTTTCAAAGGGGCATACAATTAAAAATCATTTACATATTCAGAATTAAGTTTTTTGTGAAATAGCTCCATCAAAAGGCAAATATACTTAAACTAGTCTGAGTGCTTTGTTTATGTGCATAGTTTCCCTGTAGAAGATAAAATTCATAGATTCTATCTCAAATCACCCTGGAATTTCTCACAATAAATTATTTTTTTACACTAGTTATGAATATATTTGCAACTAAAATAGGTTACTTAAGCAGCAGTAAATTCTTAATTTGATAAAACTTTCAGTACTGAAACATTTTATAATTTCAAAGATAAGAAATATGAAAGGACTGACAAATGACAAGGCATTTCAGAAGCTTTATGTGCCACACTAGATAAAATTAATGAAGGTAAATCTGTCGATGTGTTTAAGCATCATACCATGAAAATGTATAAGGGAGTGCAGGTGTAGTTCCATGCATTCATCTTGGAACCAAATGTAGGTGAGTTATCAGTTTCACACCCAGCCTGGCTTACCAGGACGCATTCACCCACTTTCAGTAATTTACCATCAGGAAGTAGAAGTTATTTGCTCTTCTAGAATAAGTTGACAGAGGAAAGTTTGTGATAAGTCAATCTCTAGCACAATGAGCCCCACCAAATGTCATAATGATTTCTATTTCTTAATTATTCCTGAATCAGAGCACAAAGTTGAAGAAACAGAAGAAGACCTTATGAGATTATAATGCTATTAATATTCAAATTACTTTTTTATTATTATTATTTATTATACAGTCTCTCAAATTTTACTTTGGATCTAGTAATGTCTCCTTACAAGAAGAAGAGGAAATCACTTACGGTATCAAGCATATATTTCACATATGACTAATTTCAGATACTCTCACTAAGTTACATAATTTTCTGTTGGCAATAATATATTCTCACTTCACTGGCTTCTCGTACAGTGTTATAGAATTCACACATAGATGCGTGGCCTGTGTTCATGAAGTAACACTGATTTGTGTTCAGCACATACACATCCCACAGCCACCATCTCCCACTGCCTCCACACATTTCTTGCTTGGTCTCTGCCTCCTCTTGAGCCCCTAATTAATGACACCACAGCAACTTTAATGGTAATACATCTATGTGTTCCATGTAGTGCACATTGTGAGCCATCACATACACATTTTGCTGTGAGGAGAATACGTGGCCATATGCGGTCTGGGTTGATGTGGGGCCATAGTTGTGTGGGGCAGCCACCCACAGGTTCCTTGGGTTGATATGGAAGCCAGGATGGCTGAACAGAAAGTGAGTTCAGAATTCGAGAATCAACATGATGGATCAATGGTTCGTTCATACTAGAAGGACATGAGACAGGGCTGTAGAAAAGAAACTTCAAGGCTGCTTCAGGTAAATGAGCAAATTCTTTGTCAAGTTCAGAAGAAAGGCTGCTAGAACGTTTTCTCCCAGGTTGCAGAACTTCAGTCTTGCAAGAAAAATTTTGAGGGTCACAGGATGGAGACGAGATGTGACTCCTTAAAGATCCAGGTGGGATGTTGGTGTGTCCAGAATCACCTTTACTGTAATTCAGATGGTCACTGGACTCTATCGTAAATGTAGAAGCAATTTCACCATGCTTTTTCATAAGGAGAGGAATAATTTTTGATACAGAATTAAAAAATGAATGGGAAGCTTTCTTGCCAGGAAAAGATTTAGTTGATTTTAAATGGGTACTCAGAGATGAACTAATGTGAGGATGCTGCTTGCCCGTAGAAGCCAAGTTATTGACTTTATATAAATAAGATGTAGAAAATGGAAGCTGATGTTTCTCATCACTTTCTTTTCTATGTATATTGTTATCTTTGATGGTGGAAGTGTCATAAAATTTTGGAAATTCTGATATCTCTTCTGCTTTAGCATTCATATATTGACTAATTGATACAATGGAATGTTTTAGTTTACTGTGGAAATTATTAATATTTGGTGATACAGGAACAGAAAATTCTTTATGGAATTTCAGTATTTCACTGAGGGTAATCATTGGGAAATGAATGAATGGTTTACCATTTTTTTCCATATCTGCTGGAATAGATGTACTTAGAAATGTTTTCAGAATTTTCTTCATGTCCACAAGAAATGATCTTTTATGTTTATTATAAATTAAACATGCAAGCCTTTTCCTTTCCATATCAGGTTGAGCAGCAGCTAACAGTTTCTGTACATCCAGCAGTGGACGTCTTCTACATGCATCCAATACATCTGTTATATCTTTTGACTCAGGAATCATATTTTGAAGAATCTGTTTCATTAAACATCCATGTTCTTCAAGGACTGAAACAGAACAAAACCATTAACCCTTTCTAAAATTGTATACTGGAATGTATGTACTATAAATTACAATAAGTTCTCTCAAAATGTTATTTGATAGAGTAATATTGGTTGCATTTTAGGTTCAGTGTTACAATTTCACTAATATTTACATTGTTATTTTTGTCCTTCAGGTGTACACATTTGTTTTAAGCAGATTTATACAGCCACATACCTGAATTGTCAGAGGCTCTGTGTCCAAAAAGATTATATGAAATTAGTTTCTGTGCTTTATTTGTTTTGGGAGGAACTAATGAGAGCTGAGTCACAGCTGTAGTAATGTCAAATGTGGTTGGACGCAGGCAATGGGTGCTTGTAGAAGCCAGCCAGATGGCTGACATGAAACAGCAGATCATGATGACGACGATGATGATGATGCTGTGTTTTGACATTACATCTATTGTAACATTAAAGTGTGCTCAGTATAATTCAAACTATTTAAATATGAATTATGTTTCTTCATAAAAGCACAGACTCAATATGTGAATTTATAACAACAGTGAAAAAACAACACTAAAACACTTTGTTAGACTCTCTGGTGGTAGACACACCCTAAAGAAAGGACACGAGTATCATTGTTCTGGTTCGGTTGTGAACTTCGATATGGGAACGTAAAACATCACTGTGCTTCTTTAAATGAATTTTTTGTATCAAAACAGTTTCAGTACAAACTTCTGAATAAGAAGACGAAAACTGAAGAAATTCTGAAGTTTGCATGTTCTTATAAGTGTCGTCACTGCCTATGGTAAGGCCTCCTCCTACACACATGAGGAACTAGCATCACGCATGTGAGTTGTTTCTACAGTGAAACCCACACAGGCCACTTTATTCTTTATGCCACTTTTACAGTTATGGATGAAGGGTATACTTTGGTGTTAAAGGAACAGTAATTCTTTTATTTTTTATTTTTAATTAAAAGGCGGGGATGACAAAATGCACGAGAGGAGTGCAGAATATAGCAATTATTAGATTATAAAGGGTTCTGGTGATGGTTTATAACACACAGAATTACTGGGTTTTGGGACTTTTTCATCGTCCTGTGTTCTAGAGAATAGAAAACATGATGTTTCAGAAACAGAATCTATTTCTGTCCTCAGGTGAAGGGGGAGAATCCACCTACTCAGTTGGGCCCCTTAGAAAGAACTAATCTCAGTCGTTCAACCAGTGACTGAAATTAGCTTTTTCTAAGGGGCCCAGCTGAGTAGGATACTTCTCCCCCTTCATCCAGTTTCCGAACGTCATGTTTTCTATTCTCTAGAACACCAGACGATGGAAAAATTCCAAATACCCAGTAATAACAATTATTGTGTGTTAGGTCAGTTAATGATCACATGTCAACCACTCAGGTTGTAAACAAAGGAAAACCATAAGAAATCAAGATGGGTAATTTTGGCTGAAATTCAAATTGAGTACACACAAATATCAAAGCAGCAGTGCTAATCATTGTTACCATGGCTTCTCAGAGAGTATGGTTATTATTTTGTAAGGTTTTGTAGGGTAATTGATGCAAGTAAAGAGGATGGCCTAGAAGTAAACACAGAGAAAACTAAGTATATGTTGCTGTCTCGTCACCAAAATGCAGAGCAAAATTATGACATGAAGATAGGAAACAGATGTTTTGAAAAAGTGACACAGTTCAGATATTTGGGAACAATGATAACAGATCGAAATCTGATTCAGGAGGAAATTAAGAGGAGATTGAACTCAGGTAATGCTTGCTACCATTCAGTCCAAAACCTTTTGTCTTCTTGTCTGCTGTCCAAAAATATAAAAATTAGAATATACAAAACTATAATTTTGCCTGTGATTCTGTGTGGGTGTGAAGCTTGGTCTCTGACATTAAGGGAGGAACATAGGCTGAGGGTGTAAGTTTTGAGGTTTTCACGGCGATGACTATGAAGAAAGTCGTTTTCTGGGTTTTGGCGCCGTGTATTCTTCGTTTTGGCTAACATTTCGGAGGAACATATCGCCTCCATCTTCAGAGCAGGTGATTGGCTTGTGAATGCAGAGAGCAGTAGCTGTGTGTCGATGGGTAGCCTCCCCATAGAAGAATACTATGTAAGTTTTGAGGTTTTCACGGCGATGACTATGAAGAAAGTCGTCTTCTGGGTTTTGGCACCGTGTATTCTTCGTTTTGGCTGATGTTCCTCTGAAACGTCAGCCAAAACGAAGAATACACGCGCCAAAACCCAGAAGACGACTTTCTTCACAGGCTGAGGGTGTTTGAGAACAGGGTGTTGAAGAAAATATTTGGACCGAAGAGGAATGAAGTAACAGGAGGCTGGAGAAAACTACATAATGATGAGCTTTATAACTCTTCTCCAAGTATAATTAGAATGATCAAGTTAAGGACGATGAGGTGGGCAGGGCATGTAGCACAAATGGGGGAGACGAGGAATGCATATAGGATATTGGTGGGAAAGCCAGAAGGAAAGAGACCACTGGGAAGACCAAGGCATAGGTGGGTGGACAATATTAAATGGATCTTAGAGAGATAGGATGGGATGTTATGGATGGGATTGACCTGGCTCAGGACAGGGACCAGTGGAGGGCTCTTGTGAACACAGTAATGAACCTTTGGGTTCCATAAAATGCTGGGAAATTCTCAAGTAGCTGCAGAATTGGCAGTTCCTCCAGAAGGGCTCAGCTCCATGAGTAGGTAAATAAGTAAGTAAGTAAGGTTTCATCCTGTTCGTGTATGCCTTAAATGATCACAGTACACTAGCAGTACAAAATTATATTTATATTATATTATATAAAAAGCCTGACATAAATTATCCAATCAACAAAATGGATAATTACCCTATTTCCTTAGAAGGAAAATCTGAAAAATTAGTAGCTATAAAACAAATACTATAGAACAGCCACTACTCACCAATTATAATAAAATCATGCAAAAAAAACAACATAAAAGGAAAGATTAATTAACAACATAAACCCACCCAGAAACCAGAACAAAAATCTGCCATTTTCATACACTTCAGCAAGGAAAGTAGAACAATCTCCTGATTATTTAGATGTTATTGTAAAAACAGCTTTCCGGAGTATCAGTCCCACAAGAGACAACCTGAAATAAAAGATACCATAAACCGACCTTTTCAACATTAGTGTGGCATTTATCAATTAGCTTGTCAAGACTGCTCAAAAGAAGAGATGAATAGAACCTTTACAGTTAGATATAATACACTTATATTGGCCATAAAATCAAATAAAACTAATGAAAACTGTACACAACACAGAACAGAAATTGGACATTGCTACAGTTGTCTTGTAGATATGGTGAACATTCTGGCCAAAACCAGGGGGACCAACTACATGAACAAACTTGACAAATTTCATATACACAGAATTAGTAAGCAAGCCAACCATATGATTAATATTTACAGAGAATGGCAATCTGATTTACAGTGTAATCTTGAATTCATTAGATAATGACATTGTCATGAAGAAAATACAATCCATAATTCCATTAAAAGAAAAACCATTATTTTTAAACTCAACTGGAAAGGAAATAGGTTGTAGCCAGCAAGTAAGAAATCCACAGAATCTCATATGTTAAGAACTACACAAATTGACAAAAGGAATACTTAACATTCTTTTATATAATTTTAGATATCTGTCAATAAGTATTACAAATTCCAAATCCTGGTATGAAGCTATCTACTGGAATAATGTGGTGAGCCACAGGACTTCTACAGAAGGTGTAACCAGTAGCAAGAATGTAAACAAACCCCATAATTCATTAAACGCAGCTCAACATAAAAGAAAGATGTTTAAAACCTGTACAAAAACAGTATCAAGTCATACTTATCCCACAAGAAATTGATGTACATCTGTCTAAGTGTAACATTCTTGATAAAAACTTGTTGTATTAGACTCACCTAGACTTGGATAATATATACATATGAGATTTTATTAACACAAATTTTATATGCTTTTATGCAGTACTTTAGCAGGTAGAGGGTGTCGCGTGGTCAGAGCAATAAATCCCCATGTCCGTAAAGTTGGCACTAACTTCACTGACAAGCAGCAGTTGCTCAGTTGGTATAGTTTGCTTGCAGACTAAAACCACAGAGTTCTTTTTATGCAGTAGTCTTTTAATGTTTCACTTTACAGTGCAAGAAGGATCCACCTTGGAGAACAAATATAATAATCCTTACAAAACTGTACTCTCCTTGCAGTTCTGGATTTCAATTAAATTTGGCACAGGAAGGGTCCATACTATAAGCTGTTACATAAATTATTTCTAGTTTATACCCGTACAATGACCCCTATATGCTAAACGAGTTTTGATTGGCTGTTTAACAGCACACTCAGTATCAAGACTAGCACCACATCACTGATGGTAAGGAAGCAGTTGTGGCATAACTGCAGTACTATCCCAGCATGTGCTTGGAAGGGCTAAGGAAAACCATGAGACCCTCAGTCAGGATAGTAGATGTCCTGGCTGGGATTCAGGCCTATCTCCCAAATATAAGTCTAGGGCATTATCACTGGACCAACAGGTGTCTGGTTCAGTTCTTGATCACAGGGCTGACTGTTCCGACTGACACTTTTGGTACGATGTCTGGATAGTACCTTGAAATAGGCCCTGACCATATACAGTTCACTGGACAGGGGCATCCTCTCACACAATTCAGTTCCAAGTAACATCTGCAATTGAGGAAGCATCATTAAATAACTAAAAATCCATCCTTCCTACATGAAGTTCCAAGCTAGCTTCACAGAATTCCGCATTGCATAAATTATAGCCCTCACAATATCCATATGTTTTTGTAGCTTCATTTAGAATTCTGTCAGATGCAGAGACTATATAGTGTCAAATAGTAATGATGAATGAATGATGAATTGGAAATGATTTGACAAGAAATAGTCATGACTTAATTTAGATACCATTCCTGCATATGCCTGGAGGAACCAAGGAAAATCACAAATATCTTAGGACAGGTGATGTCCCAGCTGAA